ATAATAAAGTTGGATCATATTTCCAATAATTCTTACATTCTTACAGTTTATTGCTAATAAAATACTGTTATATTTAACAACTTTTTTCATCATAAAAGCCCACTGATTTCACAGTTCCACTGTAGCACCTTTTGTTTTTTCTTCTCTTCTGCTGCAGGTAGAAAACTCTTTAATTATAAAATTTCACAGTAGTTTTTTTTTAAAAGGGAGGCAGTTAAATAGGACAAAGTTTTTTTAAAAGGGATTTTAAGTGTGAAACTCAAAACTGTGCACGCACACGAATTCACCTCCTTTACTTTGAACAGTTATCTTCAAAAGCWGCTAAATTATTTTAATAAAATCCATCTGAGCATCAAATGTCAGCGGACAAAGACCTGTTTTAAATTCAGTGATTACAGGATCGCACATCTTTCTGTGGAACTCCAAAACGTTCATAATGAAATACACAAATAAATAAAACACCACAAAACAAAAATCTGTATACATGTACATACAGTACATATATATATATATACTGTATATATATATACAGTATATGCATGCATACATTTATAATGTGACAATATAAATATGAAATAACTGAATAAGCTCATTATCATTAAAAATGTGCTTATTCATATAAAACAGTATTTCACAGTATAATTTTGAGGCATTTTTATTTAATTCCAACTGTTTTTATTCACAAAGTCCTCTTTTATTTCATAATGTATTTTGCCCAATGCTTTACTTTTTTCATAAAGACACTTTAATTAGGAACGTTTGGGTGTCCCATATATTTCATGACAGTGAACGATAATAAACCCTGATGTGCACCTTTCAAAATAGTTTCCAGCTGAACTGTATTAAATGTTGTTTTATTAATACTCAAAGCATAATTTATACGARTGCAATATGACATGAAATACTTTAATAATGCAAGAAAAATGAAACTGTTGACAAATGTTTTAAAGAGAAATATCACCGTGTACAGACACTTTGCATGTGTACCTTTGGGAAGTAAAAACAGTTTGACAACAGGTTGGAGGAGAGATTCCTGCAGTCGTGTTTTAGCGAAACAAAACATAATCAATCCCAGATATTTCTGCTGTGTCCTCTGAGTTGTTCACCAGGGTTCTGTTTTTCTCAACAACAACGAGAAGAAAATAATTGAAAAATTCTTCTCGGCCTGCGTTTCGCTCTCAGACGTCCAAAACAAGTCCTCCTCAACTCATCTGGATTTCTGAAACGTTCTTTGAGATGTTTAATCAGCTGTTCCCACAGTAAACCCCCGCCCCGTCAGCACGGCTGTGCATTATTACAGAGGGGGGAAAGTGTCAGACATTCCTTTAGCACCCAAACTACCTTGAACGGATGTTCGGTTTTTGGTTTATTAAGTGTTTTCCTTGAAAAAGATCAATAAAAATTCTTTAAGTAAAAAAAAAAAAACATGAGAGGCAAATTCAACAACAGTGACTACAATCAGTCTGGAACAAATACTGAATGATCACAGCAGAGAGAAGAAAAAACTCAATTCTGAGGCACTTAAAGGTACAGCTTGGTGATTTATGGAGTAATATTCTGTCAAATATCAAAACATARAAAATGTATAAAATTTAAATTATAAGTTGATTCTACAACAAGGAGAGTAAATGTCTTCTACCCTGATGTCTGTGAGTAAACAATGACTTTTCACAGCCCCCTCTCTCAGCCACAGGCTGGACATCAGTAGCAGATGTGGAACAAGTCATTTTACATTTATCTGCACAAATCTGTGAGCATCCCACCAGCYCTGTGCAGTCAGGTGGCAACTTGAAGCAATCAAATTCTTCCTTACTGGTGGCTCCTGGAGCTATCAGCCCCCATCCAGGCCTGTGAAGGCAGAGCCGGATTGGGTTTGAAAGATGATAATAGACTCCTGAGGAAACTAATCTATTTCTAAAGAAGAAAGGGGTATGAATTCTCACTCGTCCCCCCAGCTCCACCTGTCCACCTCTCTCTTTATAGGGCCTCTCCTTGCAGCAGAATCACTGCACAATGTCACAAGTGAAACGTACCAATTAAAAAGAATTCAGACAGGYAGGCATGGGTTACAATTTTAAAAACGATGTCTCCTTTTTTTTCTTTCTTTGTATAACATATACTCTATGGAGGACCAAAACTGACAGAATTAGAAATAAAAGCAGAAATATATAAACAGAAATATATAAATAGACCAATAAATAAACACACTTAAAATGCACCAATTAAATTTAAAAAAGAGAACTTAACCTTATGTTTTATAGTTTAATTGACCATCATATTTATTTTTCCAGCTTTGTTCCAAAAATTATATATTTTAACACTAATTTCCATTTTACTGTTTTAAAATATAATTTTTTAAATACATTTTCCCAGAAGTCTTTTTATTTCCACGTGTTGTTACAGTATTTTTACTTTATTATTTCTGTCTCATTATGCAAATAAGGTGGGCGGCCCTTGTTGGGTCAGCTCCTCTCCTATTGGTCAAAGTTTAACATTTAGTTTAAAACAAAGGTGAGATGAGTGTTTTCCTCCTTTTCTTTGTTTTTAATTAAACCTTAAAGTTTAAGCTCAACTGAGGCAGCWCAAGCATGCACAGTAAACCTGCACATGGATCCTGCTGCTTCCTGTCTGTTGACCAGTAGGAGAGGAGCTGAACCAAGAAGGACCGCCCACCTTTTTTGCATAATGAAATAGAAATGAATAAGTTAACGTAAAAAACAGGCAACACATGGTGAAAGAAGATGTTTTAAAATGATAAAACTAAAATAATTAAGAGACACAAATGTATGTACAAGTA